TTCTGTTTGGCTGGCCAGTCCAGGATATTCATCACGTCTCCTTCTTTCACTAGGAAACCATCCCAGTTGCGGACAGCCGTTTCCAACATGACCCGTATGGTGTAAGGCAGGAGATCTGCAAATGGACAGAGTAGCTAAATAGCTCGAGGGTAAACCCTGGTGCTGGTATTCGCGCTATAGGCTTCTTTCTAAATCGGGAAACTTTTGTACTCAGAAAATGTGAGGAAGGCATAGAATAGAACAGGGTTCTCCAAACACGGGAACTTTAAGAGTGTGGAATTCTGGGAGTTGAACTCCACAAGTCCCAAGATTGTCAAGTTTGGAAACCCCTGGAATACAGGGATTTCTACCTGGGGAGATAGAGCAGTGGTGCAACACAAGCTGTACAACTGAGCTAGACCAACAGATTAATTTGACATATGGCAGCTACTATGTCCCGATTACAGATCATCCTCAATTTACAACAGTTTGTTTAGTGACAGTTCAAATGGTACTGCATTGTAAACAACCGGTAATTGAATTTCCTTTCCTTTAAGCATCATTTGGAAATATGTGAAACATTAATAAGCATTTGCTGGTTATTCTTGGCATTAGCTTTTTTATGGCTGAGTATGGGATGGTCCATATCTCTTGCTCTTGGATTTTGGAATCTGGCTAGGACATATTCCAATAAATCTATTTAATGTTGCTTACTGAAAAACACATGACATTGCACACAGTAGGGACAGCTGCTAATTAGAGAATCCTTCAAAATTAGATTGCTAACTTTATTAAGGATTGTGGTCCAGGTGAGAGCAATTGCCGAAGAGGTAAAGAAATCACTCTGCAGCAATGAATTATGAGAACATTTGTCTAAGGGCACTGAAAATTTCTGCAAGTCTGTGACACGTAAACAAGCTTGCAACCACCACCTCGGAAAGAAAAGACAAGTATTCTTTTTAATAAGCATAAAGCAAGCCTGTGTTAGTAGACCCACATAATAACTTTTCAGGTTGCAAATAACTCTGAAGGTTGCAAACTATTGCTGCAGGCTTCACTAGCTTCATTTAAATTACCTGAGTTTTCTAAGGCAGATGAGATAATTTCTCCCTCATTAAGTGATTCATCAAAGGCTAAATAACCATATAGAAAAGTATTTATGAACTGACAAGAGTATTTGCAGTTCGGGCTGTTGAGTAAGAAACAAGACATTCCCTAACGTGGTTTCTTATTCCAAAACACACTCAGGTGACTACCAAAACTTTTTTACAACTACCTTCAAGGTTTTCAATGTGTCAGAGAACCACAAACAGTTCATCAATAACTTAAAGGCTCTGATCTCAACTTTCAATATTCGTATGGGGAGATTTCACAGGTAGCAAGAGAATCAAATTCATGATTCAATGCACTTCCATTAGGGAAGGAAGGCAGGATATAAATGAAATGACAAAGACAATTTGAAAGACCAGATGAACAATTCAGCTCCTCTTCCAGAAGACCCCTTACAAGTTTGTCTAGTGTAAATTAAAGATCTTCTCGTCCTGGTCACCTTCTGGAAGGAAGGTGAGCAATTTATAGACCCCTGTCATGCTTTTTAGACAGTCTTGTATGGTCAACGACTGTATCTGCTTCTTGAAAAGTATGTATATAGCAAGTAGAATTTCTGTTCTTTTTCTAAAAGATAAGGACGACAGCAGCAGCGTGACAACACCCAGCTGAACCAACTGATAAAACAAAGGCTATAATTCTGAGTAAGCTTTTTCTACAGTCCTCTCTGAAATTCACTAAATAGATTCCATTAATTTGAAAATACACCAATACCTTTCAAACAGAAAGAAAGGAATACATTTGGACTACGGAAGATAATTTCTGGATGTCTAATCGCCAAAGGAGTTAATTTTATTTTCCAAAACTGTGTTATGAAAGGGGTCCACAGGTTTCTCACAGAACCAAAAAAGAACGACTAGAAGTTAAAGTGAACAAACTTTCTTCAGCATAAAAAACACATTAATGGCCCGCTGCAGTTACTTTAAAGGAGGATGTGTCTACTTCTAACTGGAATTTGAATATCCAGGAAGAAGGAAATTAATAACAAGCCTTAGGCACATTTACTCAAACAGTTTTAATAGAGAAAGCATTTAGGATTACAACTCAACAGCATAATCCCAAGAATGGTTCAGTAACAAGGCCACCAATCCCCAAATTCATTTTAAGGCTACTTAAGAAAACTTAAAGAGGTTAGTTTTATTAGGTTTATATTAAAAAGACACAACTGAAAAGTATGTTTACCATATTTGGTGCCTCCTAGTTTAGCAATGTTGTAGAACTTTTTGTCTGCATTGTCACTCAGTGTTTCAATTAAGTGCTGGAACAGGTGTCCTGAAAAACAAGTCAGATTATTAAAGTTATTTGATATGTATATGTAGTTGGACAGGAAGGCTGAAATTCTATGCATTTTGACTTTGAATAACACCCACTAAATCCACTGGAATTCACTACTAAATTTAAAAAGAAACTAATAAATATTTAGGTTGCAAGACTAAATGTTTTTCTGTATTTTCCTGGCAATAATTTGCTGTAGAATGTTATTTTATATATATTAAATCCATTTAGTCTAATTTAAATAGAACTTAAATATCTCATAATAATTCTATATATATAAAATTAATTTTCTTTACTACACTAAACATATAAGTCTAATTCCACTTTGATAAATATTGGGCCACATGCAGGTTTAGTCATTCTTGGAGACTGAAAACAATAGAGCTTAAATCTTGAGTAACAACTCCCATTGATGTTAATTCTCTTTCAGTACAATTAAATTTAAGACCCAACTCATTGTCTTCATTAATACATGATAAACTATATTTAATATTCTAAAGACAAAACTTCAACTTTTTTAAAAATAAAATGTTAAACAGGAATTATAAAGTTGCCTTTATCTCCACTACACAGAGTGAACTTTACTTAATAAAAGTGGTTTTGGGAGGGATCATAGAAGGGTGTTTATGTCTATCAGCAATGCCATTATTCACAAATGCCCCTATGGTACCCAAGGTTTAATGTTATAAAGCCTTCAGAAAGAAGTCTTGCCCATAACACATGGATATATCCTTGAATCCCAGGAGGAACATTTTTGGTAGATTAAAGATTGTGACCTGCTGGAGGCTACTTTGCTTTTAAATCGACACAGAAAAAAGCACGCTTCCCACCCATCTTCACTTTTTCTGCTATGCAAGCACAAACATCTTCTGACACGAGCTGGGATCTTTGCTACAGGATGGAGGAATGTATTGCAACTGAAGATTAACAGGAGAAAGAAACCAGTCCCTTATTTTGCTAATCTCTCAATCAATAGGTTTTTTTTTTGTCCCACCTCCAATATTCTCATTTGTTGGAGCACCAAAAACACAGGACTGAATCAAGCCAACATGGATAGGGAGCATGAAAGTGGGAAGAATGCAGAAGACCTACAGATGATGGGACATGTAGCTAAGAGACATGGAAGGGGATGATGGGAACTGTCATTTAACAGTTCTGGAAGTGGAATGAACTACATAGCCCAAGGGAAAAGGACAAGGGCGATGGGAACCACCGTTTAACCGATCTCAGATGGGGTGATGGGAACTGTAGTCTAAGGCCCATGGAAGGGATTGATGGTAACTGTTTAACAGACCTCAAATGATGGGAACAACAGCCCAAGGCCCACGGAAGGGGATGATGGGAACAGTTGATGGCAATGACAAGAACTGTAGCCCAAGGGAAATGGACAGGGAAATGATGGGAACTACTATTTGATAAACCTGGTATGGGGGCGATGGGAATTGTAGTCCAAGGCCCAATGAAGGGGAGGATGGAAATGGTTGTTTCAGAGCTGGAATGGGGGATGCTGAATGCATGGAAGGGGATGATGGGAACTGTGGTTTAACAGTATTGACGGGGATGCCAGGAACGGTACCCCCAGGGAAATGGACGGGGATGATGAGAACTACTACTTGATAAACCTTGGATGGGGGCGATGGGAATTGTAGTCCAAGGCCCAATGAAGGGGAGGATGGAAATGGTTGTTTCAGAGATGCCGAGATGCACAGAAGGGGGACGATGGTTTCATAGTCCTGACAGGAGGATGAGGGTAACACCTCCCCCTTGAGGGAAATGGACAGGGATGATGGGAGTGGTTGTACCCCAGCGCCTGCAACAGGGGATGATGGGAACTGCACCCCAAAGGAAACAAGAATTGGAGCCCAAAGCCCAGGAAGGGGATTATGGGAACTGTAGTCCCCCCCACCTGTGGTATCTTGAGGGGGGGGCCCTACCAGACTGGGAAAGCCCAAACAAATTGAGGGGGGGGAAAGGAAGGAAAGGCAAGCAAGGGAGAAAGATGGCTGACAGCCCACCCCTCCCTTTTATCCAAGGGGGGGAGAGGGGGGGGGAGGCCGGTCCAGGCGGGCACAAAGGGAAAGGGGCCATTTTGCCACCCTCCCCGCCCCCTTCCCTCACCGCCACTGACCTGCCCTGGCCGCCTCCATGTTCCTCTCCCGAAGAAGGATGCCACGGGAGTTGTGAGGGGAGAAAAGAAGAACCGGGAGGGGGAGGGGGCGGAGCCCTCCCCTCAGAGACCGCGCGAGAAACGAGGGAGGGAGACAACCGGCGGGCCCCCTCAGCGCCTCCGCCCGGCCCTCCCCGCTCCCTCATTGGGCTCTGCCGGTTCTCGCGAGAGCTCCGCCGCCCGCAAGAAAGGAAAGCGGCGCGAACTCTCGCGAGGTTTCGGTCCGGCGCGAGGGGCGGTGCGCGTGCGTCAGCGCCCGCCCCTCCACCTCCTCCTCCTCCTCCTCCGTCTCTGGTCAGGGATAGCGGCTCAGGCAGCGAGACTTCAGGGCGAAGATCTCGCGAGAGTTGAGAACCTGAGAACGCTGGTCATCGGGGAAAGTTCGCTTACTCTTCCTTGGCCGCTAGGGGTAGACAAGCGCCGGGGGTGGGGGTGGGGGGAGGAACCCTGTCTTTCCTGAGCATGCGCCGTCTTCTCGGCCTATTGTGATGCGTTCTCCCCGCAAGGGTCGGAACCTTTCGTTAACCCTCTGAGGGGGTCCGACGGAATGATTTGGAAGACGGACCAGAGGGGACCAACTTTTGGTGCTGAAGAAGGCATGGCGGGAGCGGGAACCGATTTAAAGTCCTCGGTGCTGAAGCACCGGCGCACGACCCTCGAACGAGCGGAAAAGTTTATTTCGCAGGATTATTTTGTGGATTGTAACCTCCGGGGAAGGTGGGTTGGGGCTGGTCCGTCCGCTAAATCCTTCCCCTCCTCCCCCCCCAAGTTCAGATAGTCCTCGATTTAACAAGTTTCCTTTAGTGACCGTTCGAAGTTATAACAGCACTGAACTAAGGGACTTGTGACTCCAATGTCTTTGCTAAACGTTCAGCTTTCTCCTGTGGCTGACTTTTGTTTATTTTTTAATTAGGGGTGATTTTATCTCTTGGGCCACAAAGCAGCTGTCTTTGAACCAGGACGCTTGAATCATCTGCAATGAATTAGAAGGAAGATGTTGGCTGGGAGCGACCTTTATTTGTTTGTGTCCCTTGGAAAGCAGTTTTAACTGCAGCAATTTAGTTGATATTTATGGAGATTCTCAGTCACGGTTGTCCCAAAGGTGCGTTTTCCAAGAGGCAACTGGACTTTCTGGTTTTTCTTTGAAGACGTTTGGTTTCTCATCCAAGAAGCTCTTCTTCAGCTCTGGAGGAGCTTCTTGAATGAGAAGCGAAACGTCTTCAAAGAAAAACCAGAAAGTTCAGTTGCCTCTTTAAAAAGCACCTTTGGGACAATTTAGTTGCTGCCTATGGAAAGCAACACTTGAAGATTTTTGTAGCTCAGGCATCATGTAAAGTCACGGTTTTTAAACTTGGCAACTTTAAGGTGTGCCGTAGTAGCGCCTACTCATGCTCTACAGTGGTGTTTTTCAACCTCACTAAACATTGAGCTATGTAGACATCAACTGCCAAAATTCCTCTTGAATTCTGGGAGTTGAAGTCCACATATCTTAAAGATTCCAAGTTTGAAAAACACTCATTTAATCTATTGCTTATTAATCATTCTCACAGGACAGAAGCTGAAATGATGGAAGGAAGGAGAAAAAATCCTTAAATACTTTTTAAAGCGACTGATCAAACATGTTGGTGTGCTTAATTAAAGACCAATTGGGATCCTAGGAATTTGCATTATATGCTTATTAACGGTTAATTTTAACTGTTGATGACTTTAACTGAATGGAATTCACAACACTAACCTTTGCCCAGCTTATCCAGAAACTAGTCAACCCCATTTTAATTAAGCTATAGACGTTTCCCCTCTCACTAGTGGATTATAAAGGTTGGAGTTCAATCTACCTTAACACCACTTGTTTGGGAAAAGTTGCTTTTGTGATCAATGTGTTTACTTAATGAATCTGGTCCTTAAAAAGCATCTGTGGATTCAAATCGTGCAGGGTTGAAGAACTGGGGCGCTACTCTGACAAGTTTATCAGGGAGGAATATGCTGTCTTCCATCTCGGAGAATGTATTATCCTTTGGTGTGCTGTTTCAAAGAGCTAAAATATTCTGTGTCTTTTAACAGACTGTTTGGCGACACGTGTGCATTGGCCTCTTTGTCTTACTTTGAAACTTCTAAACGAATTCCATACAATGAAGCTATCCGAGAAGAATTCAGCCCTATTAAAGTTGGAGATAGTTTTGGACAGACGTAAGTATTTCCTTATGCAGAGCTAAATTTCCCATCTCATTTCCTAAGGGAACAAAATGAAGGGTTTGGGCTTTAGTTTAGAACCACTTTAGCCTAGCGGCTAAAACTCCAGGCTAGAAAGCAGGAGATCATGAGTTCAAGCCCCACTTTAGCCATGAAAGCCAGCTGAGTGAATTTTGGACCAGTTATTCTTTCTCAGTTCAATCCATCTCGAAGAGTTGTTGTTGCGAGGAAAGTAAATGGAAATTATTTGTAAAAATAATGCTGGCTGGAGAATTTTGGGAAATGAAGTTCAGGTTGTCAATGTTTAAAGGGTACCTCTGTACTTTTTAGTTAATGGGATCTGGGGCATCCTGACAGTTTCAGTGTCACTTTTCTAAGGTGGCACACCTGTTGGTTTAAAGTAGAACTCAGCATTCCCAAGAAATGGACTGGAAAGGAAGTGCATCTTCTTTGGGAAAGCGACGGAGAAGGAATGATTTGGAGGGATGCTCAGCCCGTTCAGGTAAGTGACTGTCATGAAATTATCACCAGCTAGATACTTTTTCGGATTATTTTGCTTTCCACGTAAAAAAAAAAAAATCACCCTCATGCTAAAAAGGCAAGTACACGATAAAAAAACCCAATTCAAATTGTTGTGGCCCACTAGCTGCCAGCTGAGCTGGTGGCAGACTTGGACGATGAAGAGGTTGGGGAGGAACTTGGGCCAGTTCTGGAGTCTGGGGAAGGCTCTGATGGATGCTCTGCATCGGATGCAGAGATAGAGCCAGGGCCATCCGGCATTTCCCAGCCACCGGAGAGGCAGCTGTCTTTGGAAGCTGAGATGAGTGAGGAGGAAGAACAGCTGGGTCCTGTTCAAAATGCATGTATGTGCAGAGCAGTTAGGAGGACAAGGAGTCGACTCGGGAAGCAAAGCACACATGGACACTGAATGGCCCCTCCCTGGCTGGGGAATAACTAGAAGGAAAGGGGAATGGTGGTCGTAGGAGACAACCATTCATATTTCTGAAGATTTTGCTCATGGTGTTTCGTGCCACAAAGACTGCTTGCCAGAACTTAATTTGCAGCCTTTCGGCTGGGAGCTCAGGGCCTTGCAGTTATCGCAAGGAACTGATATGGTCTGTTACTGCGGTTAACTCTTTGAAGGACTGTTGCCTGACTTTTTGGTGGGTGAATGCGATTAATTCACAAGAGGTAAATAAAGAGGGGTTTTTTGTGACAAGGAGTCTTGTTTCTTATTTCTGCTGAGGCTGGGTCAGAACACAAATGCTATTCTTTGTGGGAAATGCTGGAGAGAAATAATTTTTTTAATAAAAGTATGTGATGGACGTAATAATTTAAGGATTACCTGTATTGACAATGCAGTCTTCCTGTCCCCCCTGTCCAACTATATATTATTTGCCATTATCAGAGTTTGACTCGAGAAGGTGAGAAGACCACTTATATGCTGACGGACAATCTAAAGGAGACCGACTCTCACAGGTGAGCCAGTATTCTGGACTGCAGTACGGAAATAATACTATTCTGCTCCAGCAATTCAATTGCGATGAACCTGTCAGTATTTTGACATAAATCTTCGTAATAGAATAAAAGCATTCGAACCGTTTAATCGTCACGGGATAACCATCCTTTTCTGGAAATGCCAGGTGTTGAAAATGCACATAGCCTGCAATTCATAATCAGCTGACTTAAAACTAGAACAGGGGTCTGCAATTTTAAGCACTCAAAGAGCCATTTGGACCCGTTTCCCACAGAAAAGAAAACACCAGGAGCCACAAAACCTGGGTGGGCGTGGCCAACTTGATGTCACTCACTTCCACCATTCACATGACCCCCCCCAGCTATGCCTATCCAGCCGATCATTAGGGCAGAGAACCAGTTGTTAAAAAACACCGGGAACCACAAAACCCTTTTGACATATATCTCTCTCCCCTCCCTCTCTCTCTATCTCTCTATGTCTCTCTCTCCCCCTCTCTCTGTATCTCTCTGTGTCTCTTCCCTGGCCGCTTCTCCATCCCCCGTCGCCCTTACCTTCTCAGGCCAGGCGAGGAGTGACTGGGAGGGGAGGGCAAGGGGCGGGGCCAGCCAGTGGTGGGATCACCCGACAGGGAGCCACAGCAGAGGGCCCAAAGAGCCGCATGTGGCTCCGGAGTCGCAGGTTGCTGACCCCTGAACTAGAACAATGTAAGTTGCCAAAATTCCAGTGGAAAGAAAAAAATATTTGCCAGGGTTATGAACAGATGATTTGGGGTGGAAAATTTTGCAGTGTCAGGGCAATCACTGGGAACCTAATCCTGGCCCATGGATTATAAAAACAGAAAGGTAACACTTCTTTCCCTTCTGCAGCTTCACCCTCTATCTGGAAGTTGCCTGCAACGGTCTCTTCGGAGCTGGGAAGGGCAGCATGATCGCACCCCCAGACCCGGACAAAACGTTCTCCTTGAATAGAGCAGAGCTGGTGGTTTACAACCAGGATGTCTATGAGCTTCTGGTGGACTTCGAAATCCTCTTGGACATGGCCAAGGTGAAATGTCTTGTTTTTGCCAATTTTTTTGCAAATTGGGGGAGGGGCCAGGCCGAGGTGGTATTTACCGGTTCTCTGAACTACTCAAAATTTCCACTACCGGTTAGAACCAGTAGCAACCCACCACTGACGCATTTGGATTTTGAAAGTTGAGTTCCAGATAACAACCTTATGCCTTGACGAGGTTGGATTTGAGCCAGCGTAAAATTTATATTTCCTTTCCCGCTTAGCTCCTCGGAGAGGAAAACCAGCGGAGCTTCCAAGCGCTTTACGTAGCGAACCAAATGGTGAACCTGTGTGATGTCAACAACCCGGCAACCTTCCCTGCGGTGCATGAACTGGCCCGCTCTGTTTTCTGCCAGAAGAACGGAGATAGCCAGCACATCATCCATGCCATGGGCCATTGCCATATTGATTCTGGTAGGAACTGTGCGCGGGGTGGTATATATTCCAGTCTAGGAAAGATCTCCCAGAAGGATGGAGGTTTTCTCCCAGGTCTTCTAATACAGGTAGTCCTCGACTTACAACAGTTCGGTTAGTGACCATCCAATGTTACAACAGCACTGAAGAAAATAGTGACTTATGACCGTTTTTCTAAAAGGTCGCAAGTGTGAAAGATGGTCATAACTCACTTTTTTCGGTGCTGCAATGGTCACGTGAAAAGCGATCATAAAGTCATTATTTTCTTCAGCGCCATTGTAACTTTGAACGGTCACTAACTGACTGAACTGTTGTAAGTCGAGGACTATGGATATATGTGGGTGCGTGGATTGCAAAGCACTTAACTTGATCCCTAAGGAATGATTTCCAGGCATTGCGCAATCCTACACATGGCTAAAGCAACTGTGAACTAAAATTAAAATTAAATTAAAATTAAAAGCCATCTTCTGCCAATCAATAAAATCTTTATTCCGGTCATAGACCAGCTGTCTAAGCACCCTATAAATCCTCTAAGCACCCTATAAAAGTGAAGCAAATGTCTTTGTGAACTGTTTTGCCTGCAATTGTCATCTTAGCTTGGCTGTGGCCTTACGAAGAGACGATTCGTAAATGTGCACGCAGCTGGGTAACTGTCATACGGCTGATGGAGAAGAACCCGGACTTCATATTTGTCTGTTCACAGGTAATTGATGTATATAAGTGCCCATTTTTAACTGTGTTCATGCGTGTGGACTGTAATGTGGTTTCTTTGGTTTTGGATCGGGTATGAATCCTATTATTGTGGGTTTATAAACCATGGATTTTGGCTTAGAATGTGTATGAACCCAAACAGTTGTGGCTTATTCAGTGAAACACTTAACCATGTTTTAAATCTCAATAATGGTCTAATTTGGTTGCTTAGATCAGGGGTCTCTAAACTTGGCAACTTTAAAATTTGTGGGAACAGAGGATCCAGGACCTACGCACCTTCCGCTGCGCCCTCAATAACTTTTTATTCCATCAAGCTGGCCTGGCCTAATCTTCATTTTCTCCCCTTTTCCTTTTAAAATGTAAATTTTAATTTGTTTTTAAATTATTGGGGTGTTTTAATTCTGTCTGGGGCCAAACTCTTTAATTCGGTTTTATTCAGCTTTTAAATTTTGTATATATGTATTTTACTTTGTGGCTGTTCACCACCCTGAGTCCTTCGGGAGTAGGGCGGTATATAAATCCAATAAACTAAACTAAACTTTAAAACATGTCTGGCTGAGAAATTCTGGGAGTTGAAGTCCACAAGTCTTAAAGTTGCCAAGTTTGGAGATCCCTGGTGTAGATCAACAAGAAACCATATGAACTAGCAACTGTGTCCAGATCTTAAAACTGCAACTTTTTGGTGTGTAAACTGCAGCTAGGGTGAAAAGACATATGCTTATGACATTTATATTGCTTTTTTCATTTGCAGGCCCAGCAGTTTGAATGGGTGAAGACCTATTACCCTGGCTTGTATGCTACAATTCAAGAATTTGCAAAAAAAGGACGCTTCATACCGGTTGGGGGAACCTGGGTAGAAATGGTAAGTCTGCATTACAGGTGGTCCTTGCTTACTGACCCCTCATTCAGCGACGGCTTGAAATTATGACTACACTGAAGAAAGGGACGTGAAATCCTGCTATAATCACAGCACTGTCAAGAGTTCCCTGAACACAATTTGGGCCTGCCTACTTTTATGGCCATCCCTCCCTGCTGGCCCCAGCTGACCTTTGTCCTTGTCTTCGTCTGGATGCAGCGTGTGAGGTCAAATTTGGAAAGAAAGCGGGTTCGGCAAAACGTAGAAGAGTGATATTGCTAAACCCCTTGTGATACTCAAGATCTCCAGAACCACGAATGGTAGATTTAGGCTAATGCTAGTTGTAGCAACATTGGGTGGAAGGTCATTGGTGAACTGAGGTTTGCTACTGATGCGGGGGTTCAGTTCTCGGTCTAGAAGAGCGATGGGGAACTATGTCCCTTCTACGATCTGTGAACTTCCACTCCCAGAATTCCTGAGCCTGGGAGTCGAAGTTCCCAAATCGTAGAAGGGCCATTACTCCCCTCCACTCCCGGTGTAGAAATACAGGTGTTTTATTCCCTCCCAGGATGGAAACCTTCCAAGTGGAGAATCCATGATTCGCCAGTTCCTGCACGGGCAGCGTTTCTTCCAGCAGGAATTTGGGAAGCTGTGCTTAGAGGTGCATATCTATCTATATTCCTTCTTTCCTGCCTTCCACGTGCTTCCCTAATTCTCTTCGGTCCTGGGGGAATGGCATTTTTGTAGCTTCAAATCCTAAATCAAAACCAGTGTTGTCCATTAACTTAAAATTAACTTAAAAGAGCCTTGGTACTACAGTGGTTTAAAGCACCCTGTTATTAACACAGCTGCCTGCAATTTACTGCTGGTTCGAATCTCTCCAAGGCTCAAGGTTGACTCAGCCTTCCATCCTTTCTAAGGTAGGTTAAATGAGGACCCAGTTTGTGGGGGCAATAAGCTGACTTTGTATAAAATATACAAAAGTATGAAGGCTATTGCTTAACGCACTGTAAGCCGCCCTGAGTCCGGAGAAGGGCGGCATATAAATCAAATTTAAAAAAAAAAAAATAAATGTTGTGGACAGAAGCAGGGACAGTAAAAAATTCCTATGCCAGTCCAGTGAATTCAGCTCACCCTCCACATAAATCCTGTCGCAACCAGTGAACTAAATTGCCAAATTGGAGATTGAAGGATATTTAAATTCACCCTATGCTCTTCGGTAGGGCAGACCAAGGCATTACACTTTCCTGTAACTATATATAATATTTTGTTTAGACTCCTAGTGACCGGACCTGGATAAGTCCCTGCAGTTTTCTTGTCAAGGTTTTTTAAAAGTGGTTTGCCATTGCCTCCTTCCAAGGCTGAAAGAGAGTGACTGGCCCAAGGTCATCCAGTTGGTTTTGTGCCTAAGGCAGGACTAGAACCCACCTCTTTTGGTTTCTAATCTAAGGCCTTAACCCCTACTATTTCTCTCCCATAATTGTATAAGAAGCTGAACTGAATTTCCTCATCACTCTGCACTGCCAAACATCTATTTCCAGTGAATCGTGTTTTTCCTTCGATTTTTATTCTCAGCTTGTTCTATATATTAACTGTCAGCGCTTTGCACACAATGCCATTTCTTTCTCCCCAAATCAGTTCTGGCTGCCTGACACATTTGGTTATTCAGCACAACTGCCACAAATAATGCGTGGCTGTGGGATACGTCGTTTCTTAACTCAGAAGTTGAGCTGGAATCTGGTGAATACTTTCCCGGTAAGATTTATGTTTTAATTCAAATAAACCTGGATGCAGGGACCCGTTGATCTGTGGTTGGTCTCGCCTTGATATTAGTTTATTTCAAGAGAAATCCCATTGAACTCTTTGAGGACTAGGCTGTTTATCGACTACTTGCAATCTTCTCTCGTAGCACAACACTTTTTTCTGGGAAGGCATGGATGGATCCCGGGTTTTGGTTCACTTCCCTCCTGCAGATTCCTATGGATTGTCCGGTCGTGTGGATGAGGTGAGTAAACCCAGGAAAATTGATTCTCCAAAATATTAGAATGTGCAGAAATGGATAGATTAACAGTTGAAAGGAAAGAGAAGGAAGATATGAAATACTTTGAAAAATGGGATTTGTTTTATCAATGGTTAACTAATAGAAACAGAAGTTAGAACATTTAAAATTATAAGAGAAGGATTAATTTTACTATGAGGGTTTATTATGATATGTTTATTATTAAGATGAATTAATGTTGATAGTAAGCATAGTATAGTATTAGTATTAGTATTAGTATGGTATGGTATGGTATGGTATGGTATGGTATGGTATGGTATGGTATGGTATGGTATGGTATGGTATGGTATAGTACAGTACAGTACAAATAGCTTTTATTGTCATTGTACATCATATATACAACGAAATTGGTTTAGCCTCTCTGGTGCAATCCATAACAGAAAATACAAAACAACATAAATAGCATACAGAATAATCCCTATACAAGTAATTGGGGGGAAAAGATTAGTCATACGTTTCTATATGTGCATGGAGTGATTGTGATTGTGTTGAGAAAATACTGTTATTATATGGTTACTAATAACGAACATTATTACTATTATGATGATGATTATTGCTCAAATTGACTGTAACCAGACAACACACTGTTTATATAGACAAAAAAAATATATCAATTCTCCATCGTCACAGCAGAAGGAACAAGCCCAATAAATTACAATTCAGCTTCCTTTGAAGGTAGGAAATGCCCAGAGATGTGCTTAAAATATTGGGTGAATGAGAGATCTTCCCTCATCCTTATGCTGCCTCTCTCTTAGATGTTGAAAACGGTGAAGAATAATAAGGACAAGGGCCGTGTGAATCACAGTGTCGCTCTGTTTGGCTTTGGAGATGGAGGAGGGGGCCCTACCCAGAAGATGCTGGACAGGCTACAGAGGATGAAGGATACAGATGGTCTACCCAGGTTGGTTCCTCTTGGCTAAACTCTATAAACAAACCTTAGAGCAGGGGTCTCCAAACTTGGCAACTTTAAGACTTGTGGACTTCAACTCCCAGAATTCCTCACCCAGCACGGAGACTCCTGCCTTAGAGCACTGTTTCTCAACCTTAACCCAGGCTTGCTGGGGAATTCTGGGAGTTGAAGTCCATCTTAGAGTTGAGAAAATACTGCCTTAGAGAGTAATTTCCTTAAATGAATGCAAAGACCAAGATTGTCATGGTTGGGTGTTCTCAGCAATGGTGATTTTCTTTCACACAGGGTTCAGATGTCTGTCCCAGATCAATTTTTCTCTGCCCTGGAGAAGGAAAAGGCTCAGCTCTGTACTTGGGTTGGAGAACTGTTTTTGGAGCTGCATAACGGCACCTACACAACTCATGGGCAGGTGAGAGAGAGAGCACACGACTTCATAGGAATTTTATAGAAATTTCTGTTAATGCTACACTGCAGGCTCCGGGATTCAAAACAATACATCTGGAATATATATTAATATTATGGTTCATTGCACAATTAGCCAGAAGTTTAGACTGGATTTGGCATTTTCTGAGTAAAATTGCCTTTTGCAATTGACTGATGGTGATTTTTGTCAATTCCCTTCCGAGTAAGTTGCCTTTTGCAATTGACTGATGGTGATTTTGTCAATTCCCTTCCGAGTAAGTTGCCTTTTGCAATCGACTGATGGTGATTTTGTCAATTCCCTTCCGAGTAAGTTGCCTTTTGCAATTGGCTGACTGATAGTGATTTTTGTCAATTCCCTGCCAAGTAAGCTGCCTTTGGAATTGACTGATGTGTGATTTTTGTCAATGCTGGTGGCGTTCAAGGGGTGCTCCATTATGCAGCAATGAGTAATTGTATTAATTCAGCAATTGCTATCTCAGTAGGATTTCTGATCTGCTTTCCTTCCTTACTACTTCATTTTTCATTTTTATTTCTAAGCCGCTGGACATTTTGTATAAAATCCTGTTATTTTCTGTCTGGATTCAGATTAAAAAGGGAAACAGGGAATGTGAGCGTTTACTCCATGACATCGAGATCCTGAGTAGTTTGGCTCTGGTGCAGAAACGTTCTTTCCGGTATCCTTCTGCTCAGCTTCAACACCTTTGGAGGTATAAACTTCAAAATGCAAAATTTGGTTTTTCGTAGAATATAGAAGCTTGTGGAATGGGACTGAGTGGCCATAGGTGTGAGTGATGTCAAGTTGGCCACACCCACTCCGTCACATGCCCCCCCACCTAGCCACGCCCACTGAACCGGTAGCGAAAAATGTTGAATGTGTAGTGCCAAATATACCTTCAGGACAATGCAAACTAGAAACATACTTCTCAACCTTAATATGAGAATATGGCATTTCAGAGGAAAGAGAGAGAGAGAGAGAGAGAGAGAGAGAGAGAGAGAGAGAGAGAGAGAGAGGAGAGAGAGAGAGAGGTGTAGAAAGAAATAAAAACAAAAAATAGATATACAAAGAAGGACTTCTGACTTCTTCTGAGGATATACAAGGCACTTGCATTCAGCTCTTAGTTCAAGGCTGCAAAACTAACTTCTTATCTCTCTGATTGCTAATTTATGTCGTTTTTTTAAAGTGTATATTCACAGAATTTAATAAAAATATTATGAGAATCTGGTCTTTTAATTGGAACAGCGTATTGAGGCTGGTGCAAATGAGACACGTTGAGTGAAATCATTGTGAGCCTGCTATTTTATGCAGAAGAATTAGTCCAGCTACGTAATACTCTTCGATTACACCAAACTATGAGTTAATCCAGCTGCATCTTTCTGAGGCCTTCCATATTCTCTGTGTATGTGATCTCCCTTCCTCTCTTTTTCGGCTGCAGGCTCCTGCTCTTGAATCAATTCCACGATGTCTTGCCAGGCAGTTGTATCCAGCTTGTAGCAGAGGATGCCATGCGGTACTACTCAGGTGAGAAAGAACCAGCCCTGGAGAATTTATTTGGTTAGGGCAGCTGCCAAAGCTCAGGGATCATACATGGCCATTGGAGTCCTAAGGCTTTGCTGCTTGCGTTGGTTTGCGAGAGGTAGACTGTGACTCAAAACGCCAGGTTCAGCCCTGATGTTCTGGTGATTTAGTGCAGTGTTTCTCAACGTTGGAAGCTTGAAGATGGGTGGACTTCAACTCCCAGAATCCCCCAGCCAGCGCTGCTGGCTGGGGGATTCTGGGAGTTGAAGTCCACCCATCTTTAAGCTACCAAGGTTGAGAAATACTGATTTAGTGCCTCTCCTGATGGACATCCATGGCAGCTGTCTGCCTCCATGGTTCTGCTCAGCAGAAAATAGCTTTCTTCCTTTTGATAGAACCATTTAAACTAGGTTGTGACATCCTGGGTAATAGGACAGAGGAAAGGTCTATATGAGGGCTACAAAAGAGGCTTAGATGTTGTGGCCCACCAATTACCAGTGGAGCTGGTGTCAGACTCAGACAGTGAGGAGGTTGGGGAGGAACATGGGCCAGTCCTGGAGTCTGGAGAAAGCTCTGCGTCGGAGGCAGAGCTGGGGCCAGGGCTGTCGGACAGTTATCAGCTGCCTTCGGAGTCGGAGATCAGTGGGGCAGAAGAACAGCTGGAGCCTGTTCCCGATGTGCGCATGCGCAGAGCTGCCAGGAGAAGGGAACAGCTAAGAGCCTTGTCTGAGCCTTCTCTGTGGGGGCACCTACTATCTGGAATGAGTTCCCCCCGAGATACGGAGGATCCTGGATCTACGCACCTTCCGCCGCGCTCTCAAGACCTTTTTATTCCATCAGGCTGGCCTGGCCTAACTGTTTCCCTTTTTTCCTTTTTTAAAACATAAATTTTAATTCGTTTTTAATTTATTGGGGTGTTTTAAACCTGTCTTCGGCCAAATTGTTTAATTCGATTTTATTCAGTTTTAAATTTTGTATTTATGTTTTTTATCCTTTGGCTGTTCACCGCCCTGAGCCCTTCGGGAGTAGGGCGGTATACAAATCAAATAAAACTAAAAACTAAACTAACTAAGTAAGGAACAAGGGCCGACTCTGGAGTAAAGGCACAGGTGAACGGTGAATGGCCCCTCCCATACGGAATAAAAAGGAGCGAAGGGGAGGGGAGTTTGCAGGAGACAATTAGTTCAATTCATTAGGGTGAAGATCTGTTCCTGACTTCTTGCCAAGTATTGTCTGCTACAGAGTGGCGTTTGCAAGATATTGGCCAGCTCTCCAAGCCTGATAAAAGGTGAAAGACTGTTGGCCGGGACTTTGCTGGAGAGGAATTCCCTTTAACCTAAATAAAAGGGGTTTTATCGGGACGAGGAGTCTGCTTCATGATCTTGGAAGGCCTAGGACAGACATTAGATTTATAACTCTGATTTAATCTCTTCTGCAGCACACTAAGGCTCAAGTTTTCTTTGCTTATATACAGCATCGCCATAGCTCATTCTGAATGTGGACAGTCCTTTGATGGAGTCCTTCCTCTCTTCCTCTCTCCTTCCTTCAAGAAATTCGCAGGTCTGGAGCCCAGCTTCTGAAAGAGGCCGCCCATTCTTTGTGCGGAGAACTGTTGGGCAGCAAGGACCAGAGCAACGATACCATCCTGGTTGTCAACACTTTGCCATGGGAAAGAACCGAAGTCGTTTCCAAAACTGGACCGCAAGGAACTGAGACTTTAGGTGCCGACCCTGCTTTAATTTTAGGCTTGTACACAGCAAGAGTCCCTACCTACAATGTCTCGGGCGCCTTAAACAAATGTACTTTTCTTTAGATTGATTGGGAACCGATTCTGAAAAGTTGAACTGTAATTCCTCTGTCTCTTTCGGTGTCTTTCAATACCAGCTTTGGTTACACTTCCCAGCCTGGGTTTCTGTGCTGTTGAAGAGCCATTATCTCCTCCACATCCTGTGACCGTCAGTAAAGAGGTGAGCTTGTTGTAACCTTTTCGAGAGTCTGTTGTAACTTTGAATGGTTGCTAAGTGAGGACTACCTGCACAAAAGCCAGAGAATGACTGCCTTTTGAGTTATCTTTTTTTTAAAAAAAATGATTTATATGCCGCCCTTCTCTGGAGACTCAGGGCGGCTTACAATGCGTTAAGCAATAGCCTTCATCCTTTTGTATATTTATACAAAGTCAGCTTATTGCCCCCACAATCCGGGTCCTCATTTTACCTACCTTAGAAAGGATGGAAGGCTGAGTCAACCTTGAGCCTGGTGAGATTCGAACTTACAGTAATTGCAGACAGCTGGTGTTAATCACAATGCTTTTAGTCTGCTGAGCCACCAGGCTTCTATCTCAGTCTATGTTACCACTGTCTTTAAAGATGGCAATAATATAGTGTAATGGTATGTGAGAAATAGCAGTTTACAGAGTCAGCCTCTTGCCCCCCAAAATCTGGGTCCTCATTTTACCCACCTCGGAAGGACGGAAGGCTGAGTCAACCTTCAGATGGTCAGGATTGAACTGCTGGCAGTAGGCAGAGTTAGCCTGCAATCCTGCATTGTAACCACTGCGAGGGAGGGAGGGAAGGAACGAAGGAAGGGAAGAAAGGAAGGAAGGAAGGAAGGAAGATAGCAATAGCACTTAAATTTGTATACCGCTTCACAGAGTGCTTTTACAGCCCTCTCTAAGCAGTTTACAGAGTCAGCCTCCTGCCCTCAACAATTTGGGCCCTCATTCTACCGACCTGGGAAGGACGGTGGGCTGAGTCAGCCTTGAGCCTGGTGAGATTCGAATTGCCAAATTGCAGGCAGCCAACAGCCAGCTGAAGTAGCCTGCAGTACCGCACTCTAACCACTGCGCCACCGAGGCTCATAATGTAGCTTTGCCATAAAGTAGAAATACTTCAGCTGGTCGCATTTCCTGTCTGGTGGGACCTGGGAAGGTTGACCCATTAGGGAATCTTTCATTGTTTTCAACCCCAGGCAGATGGTTCTGTGACGTTGGCCAATGGTATCATCCAAGCCTGCCTCGATCCTTTGGGACGGATGGTGTCCCTTTCTTTACTACACCCAAAAAGGTACGTTTTCATCTTAAGTACACGATCCGTATGAAGTTCTGCATACAGGGCGGCTCTCCCCTGACTCCTCTGGGTTGGACTTCTCGTTGCAGAGAGGCTGTTCCGGAGGGTTGCCGGGCCAACCAGTTTGTGATCTTTGATGATGTCCCTCTGTATTGGGATGCCTGGGATGTGATGGATTATCACCTGGAGACCAGGTAAGACGCCTGTGTCAAGGTTCCAAGTAATACATCCCCTTCAATGAGAACTCCGAGGCAGTCATATTCCTCCAGGAACATTTCATCGGGACATATCAAATTGGCACAGACTCAGTGGAAAACCCGCTCTTAGGTTCCCGCCGGTTTTATACCCAATTAAAAGTTAAACTTTTTCACTTCTCCCCAGAGCAGGGGTGAAATCCAGCAGGTTCTGACAGGTTCTGGAGAACCAGTAGTGGAAATTTTGAGTAGTTCGGAGAACCGGCAAATACCACCTCTGGCTAGCCCCAGGAGTGGGGTGGGAATGGAGATTTTGCAATATCCTTCCCCCAGGAGTGGGGAGGGATGGGGATTTTGCAGTATCCTTCCCCCTGAAATTCTGGGAGTTGAAGTCTACAAGTCTTAAAGTTGCCAAGGTTGGAGACCTATAATTTTGAGCCAGCAATTTTCTACCCACTCTTTTTTTTCCCAGGAAGCCCATCACCCATCTCCTAAAACCCCTGGAAATTTCCACCCCGGGCGGCCTGCGGGGCAGCGTGACTTTCTCCCTGCAGCTCAGCGAGAGGAGCATCCTAACCCAAGAGGTCATCCTGGATGCGGCGAGCCCTTACATCTCCTTCCGGACTCAGGTTTACTTTTCTTTTTTCTTTTCCTCGTACAAATGTTCACCAGCTGGGTAAAATTCTACTTTGTCTTTCTTCTCCTGATCTGCAGATCTCCCTTCCTTAGTTAAGAACTACCTCTGAGGAAAAAAATACTATTTAAAAATTTTTTGTTTGTTTGTTTGCATTCCAGGTTGACTGGAACGAAGCTCACAAGTTCCTCAAGGTGGAATTTCCAGCCAAGGTTCGGAGCCCAAATGCCACTTACGAGATCCAGTTTGGCCACTTGCAGAGACCGACGCATTGGAACACGTCCTGGGATTGGGCCCGGTTTGAGGTGAGGCTCTTCTTCTCCTAACTGGTATTCCCAGGATGGAGCGATCAAAATTCTGCTTGTGGTTTTTACGAACGGCTCTTCAATGGCTCCATGGTGGCCGCCATCTTGAATTTCTGCTTGGTTCTTTTATGTACGTCTCTTCTGTGGCTCCATGATGGCTGCCATCTTGAATTTCTACTTGGTTTTTTTATGAACAGCTCTTCAATGGCTCCGTGGTGGCCGCCATCTTGAATTTCTGCTTGTTTTTTTTACGAATGGCTCTTCAATGGTCCATGGTGGCCGCCATCTTGAATTTCTGCTTGTTCTTTTATGTACGGCTCTTCTGTGGCTCCATGATGGCCGCCATCTTGAATTTCTGCTTGGTTTTTTTTATGAACAGCTCTTCAATGGCTCCGTGGTGGCCACCATCTTAAATTTCTGCATGTTTTTTTAACGAATGGCTCTTCAATGGCTCCAAGGTGGCCACCATCTTGAATTTTTGGACCATTCCGTGTCACAGACCAGGCTGAGCCTCAGGGAGGGCTCAAAGGTGTCATCTGTCTCGAGTCGCTTCGTACCCACAAGAGACCTAAATCTAGCCCAGCTTGAATTGTACTGACTTCTTATCTCCTGCTATTTTCCCTTGACCATTAGTAGTTCAGATTCTTGTAAAGAGCTTAAGCTTGCAATAAACCTTTATATGCATTTGAACTGCATGGAGGACCCGATTTCCCCGGCGTTTGAGAGAGATTTCTCACACAACTCAAGCCCGAAATACGTTTGTGAGACGCCTTGTTGATCACCACACCAGTTTTAATGAAAATGAACGGATCCTGCTAACCGTGTAGCCACTCTGAAGTGTAGTTTATGTTTGTATTTTGGTTTTCTTTTTCCTTTTTTTTTTAAGGTGTGGGGTCACAAATGGGTAGACTTGTCCGAGCACGGCTTCGGGGTTGCCCTGTTGAACGACTGCAAATATGGCTGCTCGGTCCACGACAACGTGATGAGTTTGTCCCTGTGAGTTTTGGCGGACGGTGGGAATTCCTGGGTTATGGCAGAAATGATTTTGGGGATGACTTTGGCCTTGCCTGCTTGGGTTAGATTTTTTTTTATTTAACTTTTGTCTTTTGAGTTCCTGTCGACTGATATTTTGTAGGGTTTTCATGGGCAACTTGGCAACTTCAAGTTCATGCATTAGAAGGCGGAGGGAGATATAATTCACGTTAACGTTGGCTGTTTGGATCATCAACAAGGAAAGCGTGTGGTATGGATGAGTGGATAATATGAGTTTTGATTCCCTTGAAGGTTACGTGCTCCGAAGTCCCCTGATGCTACTGCAGATATTGGACGTCACCAGTTTACCTATGCAGTGATGCCTCACCTGGGTAAGCAACACCTGAGAACCTGATCTTGACAGACTGCTCTTCTTTTCTTCTTCTCCTTCTCCTCCCTCCTTCCTGCTTCTTCATCATCTCCTTCTTCTCCTTCTCCCTCTCTCCTCTGCTTCTTTTTCTTCTCCCTCTTCCATTCCTCCCTCCTCTATTTATCCTTCCTTCCCTTCTTCCTTCCTTCCTTCCTTTCTTCCTTCCTTCCTTCTCTCCCTCCCTCCTTCCTTCCGTTCTTCTTTCTTCCTTCCTTCTCCCTTCTTCCTTCCTTCCCTTTCCCTCCCTCCCTCCCTTCTTCCTTCCTTCCTCTCCCTCCCTCTCTCCCTCCTTCTTTCCCCTTCCTTCCCCTTTGCAGTTAGTTTCTGCAAATCAGCTGCTAATTTTGTTTTTCCTAAATCGTACCATTTGCCCAGATGTTGGTCCACTGGGAAGACTGGCAGAAGGAATGGGAAGACACGACGAAAACCAGAGGGGAAACAATACCTCCGGAGTGTTGGTGGCCTACTTTAAATAACGCCCTGACTCTACAGTTTTGTCACCCACAGGTTCTTTCCAAGAAGCTGGGGTAATCCAGCAGGCCTACAGTTTGAATTTTCCCCTTCATGTCATGGAGGGCGTTCCTCCTGGGCCGTGTCCAGTCTGGAGTGCCTTCTCTGTCCTGTCTCCAGCTGTTGTCCTGGAAACAATAAAGCAGGTAAAGGGCCCGACGAAAAAATGCAATCATTAAACTCAGTTCATCTGCGCATGCTTCCTGTCTGGATCACCTTGCAAGGCTGATACCCGTCTTGCAAACCTTCTCTCCCCTCTTGCTTTTTCAAACCAAGAAATGAGGGAGGGTCCTTTTTTGAGATATTTGTGAGCCCCCCCCAATTCCTTCTGTAGCTCAGCTGCTACAGTTCTGATCATTGTCTAGTCTGTGGCTCTTCCTCCTGCCTCCCAAGGTTGCTCCCACATACCATTACAATTTATCACAAAACTAATGGGATTCAGGGAGGTTTTATGTTCAACTCGGAAGCCAGCTAAGTTTAAGGTAAAGTAACATGCGATTGCATGTTACTTTACCTTACCACTAGCATGTATGCATGTTAGTAGCATGCATACATGCTAGTGGTTCCTGACTCTAGGGGGCAGTGCTCATCTCCGTTTCAAAGCCAAAGAGCCAGCGCTGTCCGAAGACGTCTCCATAGTCATGTGGCCAGCATGACTCAACACCGAAGGAAAACGGAATGCTACTACCTTCCCACTAAAGGTGGTCCCTATTTTTCTACTTGCATTTTTTTTTTACGTGCTTTCGAACTGCTAGGTTGGCAGAAGCTGGGACAAGTAACGGGAGCTCACTCCGTTACGCGGTGTTAGGGATTCGAACTGCTGAACTCCCGACCTTTCGATTGACAACCTCAGCGTCTTAGCTACTGAGCCACCGTGTTGCTTAATTGTGGCCAGTTCTTTCTTCTCCTGCTTTCAGTGAACATTTGAGTGAATCTTGTGTTCTAGGTGAAGATTCTCTTGAGTTTTCATCAAGCACGCCTTTCTCTGTCCCTAGCAGCATCTTACTAGAGCAGGGCAGGTGTAGCTACACAGAAGGAAAGAATCGTGTTGAGCTGACCAGGGCATCTTTCTTTTGGTCTCTTTCCCCAGGCTGAGGACAGACCAGACGCCTTGGTCATCCGACTTTACGAGTCCTACGGCAGCACCGTGGACACCTGGCTTCAAATGGGCTTCCCGATTCAAGAGGCAGTCGTGTAAGTGGAAAGAGGATGTCTTAATGGCCAGCTTTTTCCCCAAGGCCCCTTCTCTGACAGTATCACTGTCTTCTGCAGGTGTGACTTCCTTGAAAGGCCTGATCCCAACACCTCCTTGGTTCTGGAAGAAGATCGGTTGAAGCTTTCTTTTCGGCCCTTCCAAATACTCTCTATCCTGCTGGTCTTGAAAGGACAGAGCAGGGACTGAGGCTTACAACAGACTGCCTGCGATGAACTGGGGCATGGCACAGAGGCCTGGTTAGACCGGGCTTGGTAGCTCAGCAGACTAAAAGCATTGTGATTAACACCAGCTGTCTGCAATTACTGTAAGTTCGAATCTCACCAGGCTCAAGGTTGACTCAGCCTTCCATCCTTCCGAGGTAGATAAAATGAGGACCCGGATTGTGGGGGCAATAAGCTGACTTTGTATAAAAAAGAACACCGCTTGGGGGGCGCGAAAGCCCTACTAAACAGGTATATACAAAAGTATGAAGGCTATTGCTTAACGCATTGTAAGCCGCCCTGAGTCTCCGGAGAAGGGCGGCATATAAATCGAACCAATAAATAAATAAATAAACTTTTAAAGCAGAATATTTTTTTTTATTAGTATATAAAAACAGTTTTTTTTTTAAAAAAAAACATACACAAATATATTGCTATAAAAGGAAGGCAAAGCATTTGATTAATTGTTGGAAGATTAAATCTCGTCCATTCGCTGTCCGGAACTTTTCTTGAGAAAGTTCCCCCGTGCTATGCTGGTTTCCTTTCCACGATAAGAAGTTTGAGAGGTGACAACTATTCAAACTGCCGGGACTCTTTTCAGTTCCACTTAGGATGATGTGAAACCAAAGGCATTTTTCTCCCCCCCCCCCCCCCAGGTGCAGGTTTTTAAAAATGGCATAAGTAATATCCAAGAAATCTGCATAACGCTAAGTTTAAAAGTTGGTAAACGAGGAAGCAGGAAAAACATTGCCTCACATCGTTCTCGGCTGGTAATCTCGGATCACAATCTCTGCGTTTATCTCCTCCGTTGGAGCGGGAAGTTCTGCCTGAAGTTCAATGAGTAATCTCGAAGAAAAAGCGGCATTGATCTCCTCCGTTGGAGCACGACGTCGTTCTGCCTGAAGCTCACGAGGATTCTTCAATCGGTAATCTTGGGTCCCAAAGCTGCATTTATCTCCTCCGCTAGATTATGAAGAGCCACCTGAAGTTCCTGCAAAGATCCTTCTGCGTTGAGAAGGGTTAGGAAGCCTTCACCCGTTTGGGTCTCGAGATTGCGGATGCCTTTGCTAAAAAGAGAAAATTAATAACAGTCAGATGACCTACTTGGTAGACATTTTAGGTAGCCCCAGGGGTGCTATTCAGCAGGTTCTGACAGGTTCTGGAGAACCGGTAGCGGAAATTTTGAGCAGTTTGGAGAACCGGCAAATACCACCTCTGGCTGGCCCCAGAGTGGGGTAGGAATGGGGATTTTGCAGTATTCTTCCCCCAGGAGTGTGGAGGGAACGGGGATTTTGCAGTATCCTTCCCCTGGAGTGCGGTGGGAATGGGGATTTTGTAGTATCCTTCCCCTAGGAGTGGGGAGGGAATGGAGATTTTGCAGTATCCTTCCCCCAGGAGTGGGGAGGGAATGGGGATTTTGCAGTATCCTTCCCCTGGAGTGGGGAGGGAATGGGAATTTTGCAGTATCCTTCCCCCAGGAGTGGGGAGGGAATGGGGATTTTGCAGCATCCTTCCCCTGCCATGCCCACCAAGCCACACCCACAGAACCGGTAGTAAATAAATTTGGATTTCACCACTGGGTAGCCCCCATAAATCCCAGATAGATTATCTGTTCTGACTCCGCTCCCCAAACACAACAAAGCCTCTGAAGTGAACTCAAAGATTCTTTTATTAGGAGCACCAGCAGCCCAGCAAAAAAGTTTCTTTCTCACTGCAGGCTAACAAGTCTGTCTGGCAGGGAGATGAATAATTGTCTGCCACACCTATTCATCTCTGCCCCCTGCCTTTTATCCCCAGAGCTAGGGTGGGACTTTGCTAGCAGCGGTGGCTCTTCCGTCCCAAGGACCGGCCCATAGATTTCCACTGCTCTCCTCTCCTCTGCCTTCTGCGCATCCGTGCATCAGGCACTGGACCCAGCTGTTCCTCCTCTTCCTCATCAGCCAATCCAGACCTGGGGACTGTTGACTCTCCATCTGAGGGCTGATGGACGGCCTAGGCTCCGCCTCCGTCTGTCTGCCAGTTCCATTCCCTCTTCCCCCTCGGAGCTCTCAGGTTACCTTGATGCTGACCCTGACTCCCACACCTCCTCTGATTTGGCTGCTGGAGGGGCCAGCGGCCAACAAGCCACAACCTTACCCTTCTCACTCTGGGTTTTCTGAGCAGGTGTTCGCCTCTTCCGTGCTGGAGTTGGAGTACTTAGCAGCAAAGACTCTTGCAAATCAGAAGATGACCTCTGAGATCTGGTTTTGGGTCCTCTGGCTCCCTTGACCATACCGTCCTCCTCCTTTTCTTGTGTAACTCCATTCTCCGGTCTACGTTTCTTTCTTCCCTTAGCTTCTTTCTGAGCAGGACTGCTGGTTGAGTTTCTCCTTGGCTTGGGGGCCTACAGAGATGGACAAAGATGCTCGGGGGAAGCCAATCTGCCACTTGAATGAGACGGATTAAAATCTCAAGATTAAAAATCGATCTGGGGCAGAAGAGAGGAACCTGCAGGCATCTGAATGTGGCTCAGTTGCAACAGCTGGAGACCAGTGGTGAAATCCAAATTATTTTACTACCGGTTCTGTGGGCGTGGCTTGGTGGGCGTGGCCTGGGAAGGATACTGCAAAATCTCCATTCCTTCCCCACTCCTGGGGGAAGGATATTGCAAAATCTCCATTCCCATTCCACTCTGGGGCCAGCCAGAGGTGGTATTTCCTGGTTCTCTGAACTGCTCAAAATTCCCGCTACCGGTTCTCCAGAACCTGTCAGAACCTGCTGGATTTCACCCCTGCTGGAGACCCACTAGTCCCCAAATTCATATTCTCTGAGGTGTCGGATCACCGCAATGACATCAAAAATAGAACTCCCAACTGAGTACAGGCAGTCCTTGAGTTACCACAGCTCGTTTAGTGACTGTTTAACATTACAACGGCACCAAGAAAGGGACTTACGGCCGTTTTTCACACATTGCAGCTTCCCCACGGTCACATGATCAAATTTCGTACTAACTTAATAACTGCGGTGATTGAGTTAAGAAATGTGCCACAAAAGGTTTTAAAATGGGTCAAAACTCACTTGAACAACTATCCCACACAGCAACAAAAACATTGAGCTGAGAAGGGATGAGAAGCGAAAGATCTTCAAAGAAAAAATAAGGAAGTCCAGTTGCCTCTTGAAAAAGCACATTTGGGTTTCGGATAAATAATCTCCCAATACAGAGATAGAGATCATACTCTCTTACCTTTGAACTCTGCACGGCTGGTTTAGGCTTTGTCTTCTTTTTCTGAGATTTCCTCTCTGGGATTAAAAACATCAAACATGCATAATTAGATCAGTGCCACCTTAATTTCTTGGTTGACTACCATGTTCTACGAATCAGCACATGCGGGACTGATTGGGGTAGATTGTAGATTGTAATTGTATCATATTTTACTTATCTATATATTAAATGATTGTATTTTATTCCAATTTCATTTTAAATCGTATTTCATGCCTATTTCATTTTAAATCGTATTTCATTCCAATTTCATTATAAAACCGTTATTTTATCCCATTCCATTTTAAACTGTTTTTTAAATCAGATTTTTAGTAATAATTTGTGTCTGGAACTCTGCACTTTGATATGGCCCAAGGGCTAATCAATAAAGTTAACTAAACTAAACTACCGTATTTTTCGGAGTATAAGACGCATCTTTTTCCCCCCTAAAAGGGGGTGAAAATTTAGGTGCGTCTTATACACCGAATGTAGCCTCCGCCCACCCACTGGCCCCCCACCCTTTGGCCTCTGCCTCCCAGCAATTTACCTCCTTGCAGCAAGCAGCAAGAAGAAATAGTTCCTTTCAGCTTCAGCACAGCCTAATTAGCACCAGTTGATTGTCCGTTGGATTGGCCTCCCGACTCTCAGCTGTTTTGCTTTCAGCTGTTTTGCTCGGGCCTTTTGCTGCTTGCTGCAAGGAGGTAAATTGCTGGGAGCAGATTTTTTTTCTTGTGCTAATCAAGCTATGCTGAAAATGAAAATGAAAGTAAAGCAGGCTGTTTGCTGTTTGCTGCAACGAGGCAAAACTGCTGGGAGGCAGATTTCTTTTTCTTGTTTTCCTCACCAAAAAAGGTAGGTGCGTCTTATAGTCCGGAGCATCTTATACTCTGAAAAATACGGTATGTTCTACAATACAGGGACAGAAGGTGACTTCGTAGTTGGAGCCATATTTCCAGTTTTAGTTTTTCTGTTTTCCAGCAGAGAATTTTAATCTCCGGATCCTTTAACCAGAAAAACTGGCAGTCCAATCTGAGATCTCCTGGCTACAAGTAGAAATTGCTTGAGACTAAGATCCTAGCAAATATCTTTGATGCCAACCTACAGGCTGGCTGTATAGTGATTTGGGGGGGGGGGGGAAGAAAACACTTTCTCATTTTCTATTTTCCTCAAACTTCTGGAAATGTAAAAAGAGGAGCTCACCTTTTGGAGCCAGAGGTCCAGGGTCTCCCTACATGGAAGAAAGATAATTCAGAAATAATAACTGGAGTAGAGTTAGGCCAGGTTTGCTATACCTAAGTGTTATGGAAGAAGGAATTAAAGAAACATCCCTTCAGGGCAGACAGTTTATTTATTTATTGCAATAAAGGATCAGACCGGTATCATAACCAAAAGGTCTGAACAAAGTATAAAATGGAGACCTCAGTCTTTATACATTTTCAAACAAAGGATTCTGTTAACTCAGCAATTCATATGGTCATATACATTTGTCATTTTTAATCGACATTTCCTAATTACTGTTTCATTTTATTCTCTGCCAACATTCATAATTCTTTTAGCCAATTACTGAAGCATAGATTCAAATCATCTTCTGATGATAGACAACTTTTAACTCATGTGGATCCCCTTGACCTAACCAACCTTTAAGCTGTATGTCATTAGAATGTTCCCTTCTTCTGACAACTTAGAGGCCTCCTAGAGGTACCAAAAGGATTTTGGCTGAGTTTGTCCTTTTTCCAACCGAAAAGCATTGCTTTTTAGAATAGAGTGAATAGAAAGTTATCCAGTGGTCATCTATCAGAGCCCGCTTCATTTACATTATAAGTACAGGCAGTCCTCGATTTAACAAGAGCATTCTTGTTAAGTTCTTGTGTTGGAGCATTCACAACTTCTGGAGGCAAGGAGTTCCACTGACTGAAAGTAGTTCTACCTAATTGAACATGGTGAACACAGAACTCCAGCTGGCAGTGAAAACACAATGTATCATACAACATGCTATAGCATGTAAAGGGCCGTCTTAACAGCATTATGGGCCCCGGGCAAAGCAGTGTACTGGGGCCCCTACGACAACTACTCACAGGAATAAAAATGTAAACATCTATTTGCATGTTAGTATTAAAATTAAAAAACATATATTTGCATGTTAGTATTAATTTAAAAAATGCAGTAAAATGTAATAAATATGTTGCTGTATTTATATGATACAAGGCAGTGGTGAAATCCACATTTTTTTACGACCAGTTCTGTGGGCGTAGTGTGGCTTGGTGGGCGTGGCAGGGGAAGGGTACTACAAAATAAGAGCCTTAGTAGTACAGTGGTCTAAAGCACCCTGTTATTAAGACCAGCTGCCTGCAATTACTGCAGGTTCGAATCTTGCCAGGCTCAAGGTTGACTCAGCCTCCCATCCTTTCTAAGGTAGGTGAAATGAGGACCCGGATTGTGGGGGCAATAAACTGACTTTGTATAAATATACAAAAGGATGAAGGCTATTGATTAGCGCATTGTAAGCTGCCCTGAGTCTCCGGAGAAGGGCGGCATATAAATCAAATTTTTTTTAAAAAAAATTTCCATTCCCTCCCCACTCCAGGGGAAAGGATACTGCAAAATCTCCACTCCCACCCCTCTGGGGCCAGCCAGTGGAGGTATTTGCCGGTTCTCCGAACTACTCAAAATTTCCGCTACCGGTTCTCCAGAACCTGCTGGATTTCTGTCGGAACCTGCTGGATTTCACCTCTGATACAAGGTGCATTGAAGGGTTAGCGTACACAGATTAGTATGGAGCCCCCTATGCTCGTGGGGACCACGGGCAAGTGCCCATCAGGCCCGTGTGTTAAGACAGCCCTGCGTGAGCCACGTTTACAGGTGAGAATGGTTGCGTTTATGTACAACGCACCACTAAGCCAGACGTGGCGCAGCCTTCAAAGCAGCCAAAGTCAGGGGGGAAAATGGACCCATCATCTTACCTAAGGGGCCCAATGCGGCGTTTCCTCTGTATCCTTACCTGGAACCAGATAGTCCTTCCGTTAGAATCACGCAGGGATTTCATGCCGGGAACAGAGTAACAGTGCAGCCACTCTACAAAGACTGCAGCACCTTCTCGATTGGTGGGGTCATATCCCTTGCCACCTCCTAGGTGAAGACAAGCCGAGACGTAAATCCAGGTAGCCCTCAACTTGGCAAATTGCAAATTGCTGCTGGGAGGGAGAGGCAGATTTTTTTTTTCTTGTTTTCCTCCCCCAAAAAAGTAGGTGCGTCTTATAGTCCAGAGTGTCTTATACTCCGAAAAATACAGTACTACTTCTTTTTTTTTTTTTAATTGAAAAGTTTTAAAATATTTTAACAAACAAATTTTCCCCCCCCTTCCTCCCCCCACCCATTCCCTTCTCCCTCCCCACCCACCCCCCTGACTTCCCAGAGCAAAATACAGGGTATAGCATTCAGCAAACATAATCAAACATAAACAAACTAACTATAAGCTCTTAACTCCCCCTCACATTTTAACTCCCCCATACATACCAAAATATAGGAATATAAAAATTCACCTAAATTCACTCATAAGCTATTTGCAACTTTTTAGTCCCATATTTGTTTTGAATATAATCAATCCATCTTCTCCATTCCAATATGTATCTTTCATTCGAGCGATCCTTCAAATATGCAGAGATTTTATGTATGTATGTATGTATGTATGTATGTATGTATGTATGTATGTATTTATTTATTTATTTATTTATTTATTTATTTATTTATTTATTTATTTATTTATTGTTTAAATTTGTATACCGCCCTTCTCCCGAAGAACTCAGGGCGGTGAACAGCCAAAAATTAAAATACATACAATATAAATTTAAAATAATTTAAAACAGAATTAAATCGAATTTTAGCCATCTCCGCCAAATTAGCTACTTTTAATGTCCATTCTTCAATGGTAGGTACGTCTTCCTTCTTCCAATACTGCGCCACCAAAAGTCTGGCTGCAGTTATTAAGTTCAAAATCAAATTAGTCTCTATAACCGTACTACTTCTAACAGCCATAAAAACTCACCCATTTCCAATGGGGTGTCCTTTGGGGGGCCCGACCGGGTGCTTACCTAGATTCACAGCTTCCATGGGCAACAGGTGACAGGTCTCCAGCAAATCGGGGTTCTCTCGTTTCAATTTCACTTTCTTGCTCAAGGTTGCACCAGAAACCTGAAATGTGGAGACCGGAAGTCGGATGAACGGAAATCGTTCTAAATAGGGAAAACAAGGGATTCCAATCTGATATTCCTATGCCTTCTTTTTTCAGATCAACCTGTGTATAGGTAGCCCGTGACTTACGACCATGGCTTTAACAGTTGTTTAAAGTTACGACGGGGCTGAAAAAAGTGACTTATTAGGACTGGTCCTCCCACTTACGACCGGTACACCATCCTCATAGACATGGGAGTGCAATTTGAGTGCTTGGCAACCGGCGTATGCTGCATCTCGGGATCATGGGATCAACATTTGGGACCTTCTCCGCCAGCGTCCGACAAGCAAAGTCAATCGAGAACTTGGATGGATTTGCTTAATGGCCATACTCGCTTAAGCACCTTCAACTGATTTAAGATTTGGACACAGCACCATTCTGGGCTTCTAACACCTTACCTGCAGCCCACGCTGAAGATCTTCCAGAATGGTTCGTGCCTTCTCAAAGGGAGCGATTTTTGATCTAGAAGAAGTCAGAGAAAAAAATGGTTGTGCTGTTGTCTTTGTGGTCAACCTGCAAGTCTTAACACAACTTCCAACTTGTTTTCTCCAGATGCTTCCTTGTGTCCAAAAAGGTCTTCTGGATTCTCCAACACAGGACCACAAAGTTCCCTCTGCTCTCCAGAAGACCCCCATGGAGAGCCCCCCCCCCTCTCCCCAATAATTCACAGACTCACCGGTGAAGAATTTCAGCCCGGAGGTAGTTGCCAACTCCATTGAAAAACTTCTGGTTGAGCAGAGCCTCACAGATGGGCTTATTGAAGGCCTTGTCGGAGAGATTCCTCAGGACGTTGTCCCTGGAAAGCAAGTCACGATTTGTTAGCCGGGAATATTTGGGATTCTGCGAAGGAATGGAGAGATGCCCTTGGGGGGAAAAGACATGAAAGAGCCATGAAGGAGGAACTTGGAGAAGAGATTATGCAACCCAGAGATCAAAGGCGCTGTAGGAGAGCCGTGTTAGTCAAGGCTAGCAAAAAAAATAATTTAAAAAAAATGGAAAGATTCTGGTAAGTACCGTTTCCAATTCATTTGACGAAAAAAACACAATCTCTCAATAGCTGCAATCTTTTTATATAGTATGTTAGCTGGAAAAGGTGCAACCGGATTTGCAGACATTTCATTACCCAACTGCGTAACATCATCAGTGCTAGAAGGGAATGGGGTTTGCAGGGAGGAGGAGGAGGGGGGAGAGGGGGAGGGGGAGGAGGAGGGGTCCTTGGTGGTCTCTGAGCTTGCTTGTTTTCTTGCAGTCATTTCATTACTCAACTAGGTAACATCATCAGTACTAGAGGCTTATTTTGAGTGTCTTTCTCCTGCTTCTTTCTATCTCCAGAGCTGTGTTTCTTAAACTTGGCAAGTTTAAAGCACGTGAACTCAATACGAAGAGATAATCCCATGGCACCTCAACTTTCTCCAATCTTCCTGCTTCTAAATCTGTTGTGTTACAATCCCCGTCCCTTCAGGCATCAGCTAGTGGATGATGGGAGTTCTATTCCATCCCTTCTTGAGGACCAAGCACAAGATTTCCTTCCTGCTATGCCGATTCATGAAAAAAAAAAAAAACCCTCATGTTTAACTCCAAGGACATCAAGTGGTCTAAATAGACATTAAAAAAAACCAGTTTGCCTTGGGTAAGAAGGCAAACGGGTCGGGAGGCAGCCCCTCACCTAAATTGTTCATACTCCAACATCACGCAAGGCCCTCGGTCTGCTTGCCAGGTGCCGTCCACCTCCCACTTGCCAAAACGCCGGATGTCCACGTAGCAGAGAGCTCGGGGTGGCTTCTCTTGGGTATAGAAACGCAGGTGGGCATGTTTGGGCATGTCGGAAACTGGGACCATTTTGAAATTCCCAGTCATGCCAAAACGGAAGACCAGATCCATAGGGCACTCTTTCGAGCCCTCCCGTTTGAGGGGAGACAGGGTGAGTTTCAGTTCTTTGCCCCGGGAGACAGCCGAGATCAGGTATCCATCGCTCTCAAAAGGCACCTCCAGATTCTTGCTGATTTCGGATTTTTCCACCTTCCCTGTAAACGTAATTCCTGCACACTCTGCATTGATGTATCTGGAGGCTAGAAAAAGCTCTGGGCCCTCCGGCATCCTGGAAAAACAGGGGAAAACAAGGGGGGAAAAAAGACGACTTGAGGGCAAGTAAAACCAGTTACAAAAGGATCAACAAGCATGTTGAAATGAGTCATTATTTAACCGTTACATAATCTGGTTTTTACCGTATTGCTTTCAGCCTTGAAAATGAGAAGGGGGGGGAGTGCAGCCCAGCAACTTCTTTCTCATCCAACCTGCTCTGAAGACCCCTGAAAATCCCCCCCCCACAAGCTTTTTGGGTGTCTGCAAAATCAAAATAATCTCTCAGCTATTGAAGACAATTTGCAAATATGTGAAACAACCTCCTCCTTCTCATCATTATTTATTTCTTATAAAAATACAGGGTTTTTTTTCAGGACACGTATTTTAATTAAAAAAAACCCTAGTTTTTCATGACACCTATTTTATTTATGTTCCTATCGCATGGGTTTCCTATCATTACCTTTACATAATGCGGGAAATAAATGTCCTACCAAAGATTTTGTTTGTTTTATTACTCAGTATCGATAAACCGAACTGGCACCAAAAAAAAGTCCATCATTTTTAAAAGCAGGAAGCGATTCCATGAGCAAAAAAAACCTTAAAATTTAAGTTACAGGCTAAAATAGTTGTTGGCTGATTGGAGAGTCAGCCTCTTTATAGAGTATCAGAGCTGGGAGGGACCTTAAGAGGTCTTCTACTCCAACCCCCTGCTCAAGCAGGACGGCTTACATCATTCCAGACAAATCAGGTCTTCCAGTCTAACCAGGAGACAAACAAATAAATAAATAAATAGTCAATCCAATCTTCAGATTGGATTGCTTACTTTCTTGTTCCCAAATCCACCTCTGCAGGTGTAACTCACCTGAACCCCAAAACGTGGGACTGGCAAAAGTCAAAAGGGCAGAGAAAAGGTACCACGCAGCGCTCCCAGCCAACAGCCTGCCTGCTACTTCAACTGGTCGCTGTTACAGCTGCTCAGAACCCACGCGAAGCCTATCACCGTCCGCCGCCCTCGGCTCCGGCCAGCGAAGGGTTAACGCAGGGAGCCGCCCCCTCTGCTCCCATTGGCTGAAAGGAACCCCCGAGCATCTTGGGAGCTGTAGTTTCTGAGGAGCGCACTTCTGGGATAAGGGCTGTGCATGCTTGGGAGATTTTTTTTGGAAGGGGGGGGGGGTGTGTGAATTCTTGCAACGAGGGGAGGGGAGGCATCGGCCAGCAAAGATGGTTTAAACAAAACAATCGTTTTTCTTTCTCACAGATTATATTATAAATTAATATTTATAATATTAAAATTTATTGTATAGCGGCTCTTCTAACCAAGACTCAGGGGTTAGCACTGATGATGTTACCTAACTGGGTCATGAAATGTCTGCAAGAAAACAACCAAGCTCAGAAAGTACCATTGAGGTGGAGGAATACCAATTTCGACAAATTTGCTTAGGTGCCTAGCTCAAGACACAAACCTTCGAACAAACAAACATACATCGAACCGTTTTTTATTTCATTTCCAGCCCAAAGCAATGAGGCCACCAGCCTTGCCCAATACACAGACCGGACAAAGATAGCTTATTGCCACATTGGTGGGATTTAATTTTCTGCCGTTCAACAAAATACAGGGAAATAAAAACAAACAAGGGAGCTTTTTCATATTTTTGAGACAGTGCCGTAAGAGCAAAAACTGTGTTACGTTTCCCTTAACAACTGATGTTCAAATGAAAAAAAAATAACACACTCATAGAAACAGATAGACTTCTCTTAAGGCAGGGGTTGAACGTTTGTGACCGAGATATGTCCCTATATTACCACGCCCCAGAGCTCCTCACTGGTTTTGCTGGTCTGGCCTACTGGGAAATAGACATTAACTCCATCTGGCTGCTTTGCTTGTATCTCATAGGCCTGGGAGATTACTATCCAGTGGAGACATTTTGGCTTGTGGTCAAAATAAAGCTTCCTTCTTCTGACTGGTCCAGACAGCATCCGGAGCTCCTTACTCGAGTGTTTTCATGATGGCTTGAGCCTGTTTCAGTTCTGAGGAGGGAAAATAGGAGGTTAAAAATAACGAAGAAAGGATCCTAATGACATGGCTTAAGAGACCACGTTCCCTCAGAAGTCACCCAGAATCACACAAGGACGCTACAGAAATTTGATAAATAAAATAAGTAAATTGCTTTTGCTCCCATGAAAATCCTAATTTCAAAGGTTTTGCTCTATGTCCTGTCAGGAATGACGTTAAGCAGACCGAGGCCGAGGACAGGAATGTCTCTGGGATGCCACTAAAATGGAGCACCCTGAACAATTTTTGCCAGAATTTTGCTGTCTCCCTGTTCAGATTATTAAAGAACACACTGTCACCTTTGTTCCTTTTTAAAAATATAATATTTTTCCACGCTGTTTGATCGAGCACCCTTGATTTCTGGCTTCTGTTTCCTCTACAAAGTGATGCCCATTTCAATGGCTAGAAAGAGGCAGATGGAAAGGTGAGGGATTCAGTCCTGTTGCCTTTGGAGATTTTACAAGAGAAATCAGAATATTTTGTCTCTTTAACAGAGCTAAGTGATTTCCTAATGCCTTGCTTGTTATAACGCTCTGGCAGAAACCAGCAACCCCTGACCCTCTCCAAGCTGTAGAAATGTTTAGCTTCTCACCAGCAAGTAAGACGCGAAACTTTTCGGCCGACAACGTCATTGTTACAGGCTCTGTCACCTTTTCATCAACATTTTTCACATTCAGCTTGAGATGAACGACTGGCTCGTTGACTTGCCGGAGCTCGCTGGAACTAAGCGTATAATCCACTCTCCACGAAACAGAATCCAGGCAATTCACTGCAGGCAGAGGGAAACAAAAACTTTTAGGCAGATCCTTTGTGCAAGGCACTAGTCCTCTTGAATGTGTCAGGGGCATTGCCAAGGAATTCACCCAATCACAGATTGCAGCAGCTTCCAAAATATACCGGTACTATGATTTTTAATTTGTGTTTTGTCTGCTTATAACTCCCCCCAAAAAAGAGAGAAGAAACACGAAGAACAAATGAATGTTTAAAAAAAAAAAAGCCAAATCAAATAGTTGTACCAGAAGCAGAATTCCATCTGCCTTTCCAACGGCCATAAATGTAGGTTGGTTGCTGAGTGCCCAAAATGCAATCATATGACCACAGAAGGGGTCTAAGTGACAGAACTTGGAATCTGGGTTGTTAAATCCCTTTTTCAGGGTCCTAACTTCAAACAGTCACTAAGTGTCTGGTCATAAGTCAAGGACTACCTGTACTACCAAGTGCTCTGAAAATTCCAGTCTAAGAGCAGCAGCTTTCTGTGTTCTTTGACAGGGTGGTTCAGCCTTGTTGGCATTTTACAGGATGTTTCTCCAATCAATCTGTGAGCCCCTTGTGGGGCGGAGAAATCTTCCCATAAGAAAGCAAAAACATCTCAGACTGGGGGGGAAAAGGCTGCAGAGGACAGTTTCCCTAAAGTGACCTTTCATTTTGTAACTGGCAACGGAACTCGACTTACATCTCAGGCTGCCCTTCCTCAGGCTGTCCTGGAGAGAGCTCTGTTTCTCCTCGTAGGACCGACACAATCCTGCGGCATGTTCTGCAACCAAGAGATCAACTAAATTAAGCCACCAGTCCAAATCCTTTGGCCATTTAAACTGATTTATTTATTTATTTATTTATTTTACTTTCAGAAAATCTTTATTAAAGTTTAAAATATTAAAATACATCTGTAACGAAAATACATCCATAATAATTGTATAATTCAATGTCGTTCTGACGGTACACAAATCTTAACTCTATTCATATATTCCCAGATATTCCTACTTGATCCAAGTATCTGTAAACACAATTTATGTCTTATTTTGATCTATATATTTCCTATTTTTATTTTCTATCCATTGATACCAGTTTTCCCAAGTTGAGTAATATTCTGAATCTTCCTTATTATTTAATTCTAGAGTAAGTTTGTCCATTTCTGCACACTCAAAAATTTTCTGGATTATTACACTATCTGTCGGCATAGTGGACATTTTCCAAGCTTGTGCGAGTACAATTCTTGCTGCTGTAGTGATATGATTTTATTTACAGTTAGAGATAGTTCTGGAGGAACCGTTAACATTTTTTATGTTTTTAAAAGCAACTATTTGAAAATCACCTTTGGGCAGCCCCAGCTGTTGAAGTTCGCTGGAGAGAGACTCGGAGTCCACGTTGTATTTGGCGGCACTCGAGAGAATGAAGGCAAGCACAGCGACAGTGGCTTTCACATCTCCTGATTCTGCAGAGCGAAAAAGGAAGGAAACATGGTTGTCTGAAGCAGGTCTTCAGGCTAACACATTTTATTGGAAAGGATATCAGTGACTTATGCTGGCTGGGGAATTCTGGGAGTTGAAGTCCACACATCTTAAAGTTGCTAAGGTAGAAAAACACCCCTCTATAATCATCCCAAGGCTATGAGTTGCTCCAGAAATGTGTTATGTAGGTTTGCTGAAACTTTTTGTTCAACATTTATCTACTCAGGGTTAACGTTTTGGAAAAGAACTTAACCACCGTCTATGTCAGTGTCATGGCTGACTAGGGAATTCTGGGAGTTGAAGTCCATGGGCATGTCAAATTTTTCAACTTTCAATTCCCAAACATTAAGGCTGCTCAAAAGTTGCGACGTGCCTTGGGGACTGTAAAGATAGTTTGGTTACTTTAACAATAATTTAGATGTGCTTGGTAAATAACTACATTTTGTTTGTTTCATTACATCTTAAAGCTGGCACGGTTAAGAAGCATCGGTCTCTGTCGTTTGGAATTCAAAGGTGAACATGTAAAGCAGAGATGGCTTTACAGGAACTGCCATTTTTTTTAATAAAAAGTTTTTTATTTTTTTAAGACAAACGAACATATAATACATCAGTCCTTCCATGTGTCATCTCGGTGTTTCTTCGGTGACTTCTTCTTTTTATTCCTTTTCTTATTCCTCCTCTTCTTATTTCTTCCTTAGTAGATCCCATTTCAATATTTTCCCCAAAGTACATATATTTAATGTAACTTTCTCCTGTTCTCTTATCAAATTCTTTATCTATATCTCTTTTCTATCGCATCATAAAAATTTCCCCATATCTTAAAGTATTCCGTATCCTCTTTCTCTTTAATCATTAAAGTTAATCTGTTAATCTCTGCACAGTCCACAATTTTTCTAATTACTTCCCCTTCTAAAGGGATTTTCTCTGCTTTCCATCTTTGTGCAAATACTATTCTTGCTGCAGTTATATGTATAATCAAATATACATTTTCTTTACTAATTTTCTCTGGTAGGATACCCAGTAGGAACAACTCTGGTTTTAAATCAATATGTTGTTGAGTCATTTCTTCTACCCATGTCTTAATTCTGCTCCAATAATCTCTAGCTTCTGGGCAAGTGCACCACATATGATGATAATAAGATCCTGGTATTTGGTGGCATTTCCAAACATTTAGCTCTGATTTGTCTTTAAACATTTTTGCCCATTTTTCAGGAAGCATGTGCCATCTGTAAAACTGCCATATTTTGCTGGATGCTCGGAGAGGACCAATTTCGCAAGTCTCTTGCAAAAAGATACCAGTTGAAGTAAGGAACTGCAGCACCTTGTTGTGTGCATATCCCACGAACAAATGTGTTTTCAGCATCAATACTAAACTCAGAAAATAAATGCAACTCAGATTCTCAAATTTCAGTTGAGAAATGTTGGCAGGGTAGGAAATTGGCTTAGCCGTATCCTAACTTAGTCCTTGGACATAGAAGGGAAAAGGGTACTCACCAAACTTGGCATCTGATGTTAACTTCAGGATTTTGTCATACTGCAAGAGACAAAAGAACAATTTCTAGCTTGGCTCAGCTCAAACTTAACACTGGGAAGTCCCAACAACAAAACCTTTTTTTTAATCCATTGCAGAATTTTCGATTTACAGAACACCTTTTGGGAGCTTCCAATTTAAGCACTCCTCAATTGCCATGGAAACCCACATATGAATGGGGCAGGTGATTTATGAACCTATTATTTAAAAAATAACTGAAAGTGTTTAATCTGAAAGTGCCCCTCTTTTACTGATTCTGGATTTATGCAAACTGAGTTTGGAAAGTATCCACAAAAGAGATTGAGAATGAACTCACATCAATGCCCTCTCCAAGCACATCCTTCAAAACCTGGGCACAGATCAGCTTGAGTTTCACCGAAGACTGGGAAAAAAAAGACAAAAATGTGTCATAACCATCTTCTTGATATTTTTTTAATGCTCCCTTGGAGAACGGTAGCTGTCAGGCACAATCTTACAAAGGGGCAAATCCAGCTACAGGTCAGTGGTAAAATGCTAGCACCCCCATACCTTAAAATAATTAAAATATTCATGGAACTCAAAGGGACAAAAAAAAATAATAATCACTTACTATTTTAGCCAAAGTGCTAATTTCTGCCAAGACCCAGTCAGGACAGTCCAAATCCCCACAGAATCGAAACCTCTGGCAGGAAGAAACAAAATTTGAGTACTTTTCCATCACAGCAACTTTAAGATGGGTGGATGTCAGCTCACAGAATCCCCCCTTCTAGCATGCATGGACTTCAACGCCCAGAATTCTTCCAGCCAGCTTGCATGGAACTCCAGTTCCCAGAATCCCTCCACCTAGCATGCATGGACTCCAGTGATGGGTTGCTACTGGTTCGCACCGGATCGGGTGAAACTGTAGCGGCAGGAGCCCGGATTGCCTCTGTGCATGCGCAGAAGCACCGCGAGCATGCACGCACGAGCAAACTGGTAGCGACGGGACTCCCAAAAATTCCTCCAGCTACCATACATGGACTTCAACTCCCAGAATTCTCCCCCATCTAGCATGCATGGACTCCAACTCCCAGAATCCCTCCATCTAGCAAAGGTTGACTAAATGCAAGCTGGCTGGGGGAATTCTGGGAATTGAAGTTTTAATACCTCTCATTTTATTGAGATTTCATTTTTATTGAGCTTGCATGGACTCCAACTCCCAGAATCCCCTGATCTAGCATGCATGGACTCCCAAAATTCCTCCAGCTACCCTGCATGGACTTCAACTCCCAGAGTTCTCCCCCATCTAGCATGCATGGATTTCAACTTCCAGAAATCCCCCATCTAGCATGCATGGACTCCAACTCCCAGAATCCCTCCATCTAGCAAAGGTTGACTAAATGCAAGCTGGCTGGGGAATTCTGGGAATTGAAGTTTTAATACCTCTCATTTTATTGAGATTTTGCACTGACAAATGCACTACTCTGACACTTCTGCACCAATTTTTCTTTTAAAGATCTGGACTTTCAACCTCTAATCCTATAAAATATACCCCCCCCCCTTTTCCCCCCCTCTAGAAAAAAACCCCCCCCCCGCGCCCCCCTCCGCCTTCCACCCTCCCGCACTCACCATCTTCCCCTGATCTGAGCAAGACCCCCCCTTCCTATGCAAAGCGAGTCACCTGACTTCTCTTTTCTGCCCAATCTCTGAAGAGCTTCCCTTGCATCACCTGACTTCCTTCTAGCCAATCCCTGAAAAGCTTCTGTTTTTCCAGCTGTCTGCTTTCTACCCAATCCCTGAAGAGCTTCCTTGTTTTTTCACTTTTTTCTATCCAATCCCTGAAGAGCTTCCTTGTTTTTGTTTCTTTCTATCCAATCCCTGAACAGCTTCCTTGTTTTTTCACTTCTTTCTATCCAATCCCTGAACAGCTTCCTTGTTTTTTTTCCAGCCTGCTTCATTCTAGCCAATCCCTGAAGAGCTTCCCTTGCATCAGCTGACCGAGAGCAAGTCAGCTGACCGTCAGTGGCTCTTGCTGCTTGCTGTGGCAACACGTGTTCTGCTGATCGTGGGGAATGGGAGTTTTTAAAGAGCTAACGCGTGTATTAGCCCCTTTGCAGCCCTCATTTCAAGACCTCAGACTTTCCATATCTGTTACCAATTCAATATATAAAAGGAACTTTGGGAAGGCTTGTCTGGCTGCCCATAAGAATACAAAAGAGTTATTCAAGTTTTTGTATCTTGGATTTTTGTTTGAAATGAGGGGCAACGTTTTGCCATAGCCCTGCCTCATTCGTAAAGTCACATGAAAGTTCAAGTCTAACCCTACTCTGCTTTCTGTTGGGTTCTGCAACCCAACAAGGCAGACACAGACTTCAGAGGATCATTAGAACTGCAGAAACAACAATGGCTACCAACCTGCCTCCCATGGAGGACCTGTATCCTGCATGAGTCAAAAAGAGGGCTGTGAAAGTATTTACAGACCCCTCGCATCCTGAACATAAACTGTTTCAACTCCTACCCTCAAAACGAAGCTATAGGACACTGCACACCAGAACAACTAGATGCAAGGACAGTTTTTTCCCAAATGCCATCACTCTGCTAAACAAATAATTCCCTCAACGCTGTCAAACTATTTACTAAATCTGCACTACTATTAATCTTCTCATCGTTCCTATCACCCATCTCCTCCCACTTATGACTGCAAGACTGTAACTTTGTTGCTTGTATCCTTACCATTTATATTGATATTGTTTCCTGATTGCTTATTTTGTAACCTACGACTATCATTAAGTGTTGTACCTTTTGAACATATGCACCAAGACAAATTCCTTGTGTGTCCAATAAAAACACTTAGAAGTAGAATTTTTTATTGGCCATTTCTATTCCATTTCCATTCCATTTCATTCTCTCTACTTCTCTTCCCCAATCTGCAAAACGAATCCGATTTTATATTTTAAGCTGTTTTTATATTCTTCAGTTCTGCATGCTTGCTGCCCAGAGTTCACTGCAGCTGGTTGGTCAATAAATTTTAAAAAATAAATAAAATCCTGGCATGATAAGAGGAGCTGATACTTTGAGGGGTGAACCGCGAGGCAGTGAATTATTATTGGGAAAACCCAGTTTCCATCTTCTAGCTATTTTTTAAAAATGTTTTATTTGCAGGCAATTCTATGAATTGATATTAAAGATTTAAGCCGAGTATATCTAGCATGTGAAACCCAAATGACATTCAAGCCACAATCAACCAGATTTCACATAAGGCCTTATTTATCAAACTATTTTGAAGCAAGTCATGCCTAACATAACATTAGACTACAACCTTAGGAGAAGGTTACAAGGAAGTATCTTTCAGATCTTAAAAGTGAATACAACTTTTGAAGTACTTGTACATAAGGCTCAACTGAAGCCTTGGGGTGGGTGAGGGGAAACCAAGCACTGCTTCAATTAACAGCAGAGAGAAGTGGTGGCTTTGTGAGGTCTAAAGGAATTCCAAATTATTTTTTGAAGTGAGCACAGTCTTAGCAGGACAAAAATCCTCCAACCTTTGTTTTGATGCTTCCAAGATGTTTTCTATGCAAGCACCATTATATATTTATTTATTGAACAAGATGTAGAGGGGAAAAAACAAGTCTTTTTTTTACAACTTGATCTGTTTATTTTAACATCCTTCCACATTGCATAACATCTTAAGAAGAATTATAACGTCTTTTCCTAGTACAAAAGATTCCTAGAGTGGTCAGGGCCAAGCTTGTAGTAAGGGCTATTAAGATGATCCCCACCAGCATCCAAGGAATTTGGAAGAAGCCTGAAAAGAAGAAAAGAACAGCATTGGTTTTTCTTAAACAGCTTTTTTTTTTTTTTGCATTGAAAATTAGAAGTAAAGAATACAACAGGACAACAACAGAATACAACAGAAACACAACAGGAAGCGAAAAGCTAAACATTCTGATTTTCCTTCCCTACAAATCTAAAGAGTGGAACTTAATGACAAGCAAGTGAGGTTACTTTTATCCCAAATTTCTTGTCTAAGAATCTCCTCCATCAAAGGTTTAAACAAAAGTTCCCTGCAGATTTATAATTTGATGAGATTACTGTTGAAAGGATAAGGGTGACTTTCACTGATTCCGTCTTTCTGGCTCCAAGTCAAACAATTATATAGAATTTCACTGAATTTCATGCAGTTAATACTAAATCCAAGTGGAAATAATGGTTTGAGTGTCAGATTAAAGGATTGCGGTCACATGGAAAGGCTCTGGGAATTGCTTTGATCCTGAGGTTACAAAAGCTGCACACCTGATTTAGCAAGCGATGTGAATATATCCAGTTGTGGTTAGTTAACAAATCATGGATTAACACAATGTTTGAACTCCGTAATCAAGATGATACTGTACCATGTTCTGCTGATAAAATCAACTTATTTTGATTGTCGGGAGTAATTCTGGAAGTCATGTACAAGTCAAGAATGAGGATGGGACCGAGCATCACGTCAACATCTGCCTCCTTCGATTTATCTGCACGAGAACAAGATTGACAACACATTTACATTAATATAGAGAGCGCCAGTTTGGTTAAGACATCAGGCTAGAAACTGGGAGACCGTGAGTTCTTGTCCTGGCTTAGGTACAAAGCTAGTTGTGGGCCCGTCCCAATTGGTCAGTCAGAAAAGAAATTCAAATCTTTATTGTCAGTGCACAACATATGTACAAATGAGATTGGTTGAGCTCCCTCAGTGCACGCCCCCCCCCCAACACAATACAACTCACAGCGAAGGCAAAAAATCCCTAACCCAATAAATCATATTAACAAAACAGCCTATTGCACCAGTGTGAACTTGTTACACATTGGGTTGGCCCTGCGGTCCAAAACAAACACTCTCAAATCCATTATTAAGGAAATGACACTTTACTAAAGCCAAGTGGTTACAGAGAAGCAAAGCCGGATATGAATTTTTCACGCCCAAAGCATGTGGTTAACTTTTCCCTTGATCCCATCCTTCCCCCTGGTAATCTCTAGGTGTTCAATCCTATTCAAGACAATTGTTTTGGTAACAGTCTCTGGTTTTACGGTCTGGATGGTGCTACATTCCCATAGGGTGACCTTGGAATGGCCAGTGGCTGTGATGAGTAGTTTTGTTTCCCCTTCATGCTAGAACCTCCCCCTTATCCCATCTAGCAGTTCCTGCCCCTGTTGCGTATGACGGGCTGGCAGCCAGTGAAGCATGGCGTACTGGGATGGCGGTCCTGGCAGGGCCAGTCTCTTTCTCTCAGCCCTAGGAAGGAGGCAATGGCAAACCACTTCTGAAAAACCTTGCCAAGAAAACTGCAGGGACTTGTCCAGGCAATCTCTGAGAATTGGACACGATTGTCCCTCATCTAATATTTCCAGAACCAGATCAGCTACTTCTGGAATATCATTCAAGGGAATGGCTCTTTCTCTCTACCAAACCTTGACTACATACCCAATTTAGCAGCCACGTCTCTGCCCAGTCTTCTTCCCCATCGGTCCCAGTGGTTGCTGTCTTGGCCCGTAGTTCGAACACAATTCTGGGTTTCACAGCAGGAGCAAATATCTGTGGTGCCTTCAACTGGAACCCAACTGTGGTGAAAAAAGCCAAAGGGAAACACTTCCTGTAAGGGTGCCCCAATATTTATTTAGAGTCAGATTAACAGAGTTGGAACTTGGAAGGGATCTTGTAGGTCATCTAGTCCAACCCCCCCCCCACCCAACCGCCTACACCATTTCTGACAGAGGGCAGTCTCTTCTCTTCTTGAAAGCCTCCAGTATCAAATACTATTCGCTCTTAATCGACCAAAGGATACTTGGCTATATCTGTATTAAGTTCAGAAGTATTGCTCTACTTAGCCTAAAATCAATTGGGCTTACAAAATTGTTTAACAGATTAACAGAGTTGGAAGGGACCTTATAGGTCATTTAGTCCAAATCCCTACTCAAGCAGGAGACCCTACACCATTTCTGACAAACGGCAGACCAGTCTCTTCTTGAAAACTTCCAGTGGTGAAGCCCCCACAACTTCCGAAGGCAACTTCCGAACTATTGGTGTGTAACTCCGAACAAGATAATCACCAAGTCTTCCAAAATAAAATGAATCTAAAGCATTTTTCTCCAAAGAAACAGAGAAATTACATCAAAGGAACTAGTTGCATGTTCACATTTCTGTTGACTTAAGCCTGCTAATGTCCTCCTACAGTGACACATGGCTTAAACACAGTGACTTGATCCTGTAAGAATGTTAGGTTGCTTACCTGTTCCTAGCTAGATGGAAGGAACAAGCTTTGTTCTCAGAATCAGGAGCCTGAGTAGCTGCAACCACCTTCAAATGGCAAGTGATGTAAATCTAGGAACAAGGTAAAAGGTAGTTCAATTTAGGTTATGGCATGACCAAGAGTGAAACTTCAAAAATATTGCCGTTAGGAGCTGGGCTTCAGAAGAAGGTCTCTTACCAGATCTCGGGGGTCTTTGCTAAAACGGAAGACATCTACTGTGAATCGGAGTACGTCATCCCTGATCCTTGGTGATAAGAAGGTTGAGCTGGAATCAAATCGTCCGTCTACCAGGCAGCTGGAGGACACATGATCTGTCAACAATGCTTCCTAACTTTTCACACATTGTTACATTAGTGCATTTTAGTGTCCTTGTGCAATCTCCAGACAACAGACCTAGCTGAATCCTG